GGCCTGGACAGACTCTGGTCTCAGTCTTGTCTAGGCCTGGACAGACTCTGGTCTCGGTCTTGTCTAGGCCTGGACAGACTCTGGTCTCGGTCTTGTCTAGGCCTGGACAGACTCTGGTCTCAGTCTTGTCTAGGCCAGGACACACTATGGTCTTGGTATGGTCTAGGCCAGGACAGACTCTGGTCTTGGTCTTGTCTAGGCCTGGACAGACTCTGGTCTCAGTCTTGTCTAGGCCAGGACACACTATGGTCTTGGTATGGTCTAGGCCAGGACAGACTCTGGTCTCGGTCTTGTCTAGGCCAGGACACACTATGGTCTTGGTATGGTCTAGGCCAGGACAGACTCTGGTCTCGGTCTTGTCTAGGCCAGGACACACTATGGTCTTGGTATGGTCTAGGCCAGGACAGACTCTGGTCTCGGTCTTGTCTAGGCCAGGACACACTATGGTCTTGGTATGGTCTAGGCCAGGACAGACTCTGGTCTCGGTCTTGACTAGATCTGGACACACTCTGGTCTTGGTCTGGACACGCTATGGTCTTGATCTGGTCTTGGCCTGGACAGACTCTGGTCTCGGTCTTGTCTTGGCCTGGACACACTATGGTCTTGATCTGGTCTGGTCTTGGCCTAGACAGACTCTGGTCTCGGTCTTGTCTAGGCCTAGTCAGATTGGTCTTGGTCTGGACACACTATTGTCTTGATCTGGTCTTGGCCTGGACAGACTCTGGTCTCGGTCTTGTCTAGGCCTGGTCAGATTGGTCTTGGTCTGGACACACTATGGTCTTGATCTGGTCTGGTCTTGGCCTAGACAGACTCTGGTCTCGGTCTTGTCTAGGCCTGGACAGATTGGTCTTGGTCTCAGGTTGGTTAGGGGAGTTTAAAGACTGGACCTTCAACAGGTTAATTTTGTCCTCAGCTCATTAAAGGTCCAGGTTCAGTAAAGTCCTGGTTCTAGGGTCAACGGGTCCAGGCAGGTTTGATGTCCCTACCTTTGACCGGAGCCACGTCAGCCAGCCGAGGGTCCGGTCCATCCGCCTCCTCCGGAGAGCTGGACAGGGAGATGAAGGAGGGCAGCGCCAGAGGACCCGCGGCGGGCGTCCCTGGATCTGCCTGAGCGTTCTGCGGCATGTCGAGCGTCAGACGAGGCCTGCGAGGCCGAGAAACAGATTTATAGATAACATGTAGTAAAGGTTGCTGGTTGTAAACCCGAGCGGAGTCTCTGACCGCTTTAAAGGCTCCTTGGTGCGAGCTCTCCTGGCAGGAGGGCAGGAGGAGCTGCCGGGGCTCCGCTTGACTCGCTGGCGGTGCTGCAGCTTACAGCGGGGGCCTCGGGGGCAGGAGCCCGACTTGGAGAAGTCTGGACACACCAGGGTGTGCTTCTTCTTACACTTGAGATAACAAACAAACAAACAAACAAACAAACAAACAAACAAACAAACAAACAGCTGTGGACAGCATGAAAGAACAGGAGCCAGAACTAAAAGGTTTTAGGATCTAAATAATAATAATATTATTA